AAAAAATAGAACAATAGCAGCGTACCAGTATCACAAACATAAACAAACCGAAGCAAGAACATTTACAGTGATACAGGGTTTCAAGACAAAATAATACGAATTAACAGTGGTTGTTATATTACATATCGCTATGCTCAACTACGTTACTCAGATTACCAGAAGTAAGAATGGAAGATTGTTCAAACTATTAAAGAGAATAAGAAAATAATTACTAGATAAAACGTTAGAGATAATAGAGTTTCACTAGACAAGATGGTAGGAATTCACCATGGTAATTCCATTACATATTGTTACCTTCAAATCAGCTGCCCAGATTACCAGACACGAGCATGCAAAATTGATCAGAATATAAAAAATTTTAAGCATTAACTATTCCTTTCAATATACCATCAGAAATCAGCAATATAGTTATTGTAGCTATTCATATGTATATATTTATATTTTGTCTTCCTTCTTTCTTTTTCCTTTCCCTCATCCCAGTTGTTCCTTCCTTTGAGCAACTTCTTTCCCTTTTCGATCATCTATTGTATGTTTTGAGTTTTACTTATTGTTTCACCCCTTTCTTTTAAACAGCCACTACTATTATTTCTTTTGCATCCTTCCAGTGTGTGCTGTCACTTTTTCAACAAATCGAAAGTAAGAAGGACAGCATGCTACACATCAATTCTGAACTGCCTTTCCATTACATTTATCTGGATATTCTTTTTCCACCATTGCAAAGAAGAATATACGTATTAGAAGTTAGAGTGCTAGAATGAATACCAGGTATGTACTTTACTACCTGTGTGGATTTGTATAAGTTAATTAACCTCTGGGTCTCAGGTTCCTCATCTACGAAATGCAGATAATAACAGCACCTGACACGTAGTTGTAAAGATTATTAGATAAATTAAGTCAAGGGCACAGAACAGTGCCTGGCATGTTTGTTTATTTGTTTGTTTTTAGAGACAGGATCTTGCCGTGTTGCCCAGGGTGGCCTTCAATTCCTGAATTCAATAGAGCAATCTTCCTGCCTCAGTCTCCCAAGTAGCTGGAATTGTACGTGTTTGCCATTGTGCTTAGCTATCATGTGTATTTAGAAACTGCCTCCATCATCATAATCAGAAACAGATCTTATTCTGCATAATTCCATAATCTCCTACTGAAAAGCATATTACCGACAGTCCTCCAGTAAGGACAGTATTGCCCATAAGTCTGCCTACTTTACATAAGCATATCTGGGCAAGTGCCAAGTGATATTCACTGTTCTTTCCCTCACTTGCTCTCCTCCTCCTTCTCCCTTTGTTTTTTGCTGGACTGGGAACTGAACCCAGGGCCTTCACAGTGAGCTGCATCCCCAGCCCCCCTCCTTTATATTTTATTTTGAGACAGCGTCTCACTAAGTTGCCTCGACTGCATGTGAACTTGTGATGCTCCTCTGTCAGCCTCCCAAAGTGCTGGGATTCCAGGCATGCACCTCCAAGCAAAGCCAGTGAGTCAAATTTGACAGGTGTCACCCCGTGCCTGTCCAAGATGGCTACCTGAGCATATATGCCCACCACCCGGTTCAGCGGCTTTGGAGTAAATTCAAAGCCTACTGTTGGAAGGTTGCTTTCTGTCACTGAAGCACTCCAAACTGTAACAGAAAATGTCCCCACCCACCCACAAGCCAGTACACTTCAGTTTCTTAGTTGCCCAGGTAATAGTTCCTGCTCCAGTTCTTAGAAACAATTGGTCACTGTGATGCACATCTATAAACCAATCCCCAGCTGACAAGCCATTCTGCCTCTGTACTTCCTGCTTGCTTGTCTCATGTAAGTCCCAGACCACCAGAGATCAGAGCCTGATATTCTGGGAGTGATTCCCATCAGTGCCTGTCGATGTAAATAAATCTGCTTCCAAATCCTGGGTGTTGTTCCGCTGCTTCTACTTGCTGTAGCAAAACACTGCTGTTTAGGGTCAACCTGCGAGAACACCTCCCTTTAAAAACATAACTCTGATATGTGAAGGCAAATACCTTACACATGCCTTCAGGAAATCCATAGACTGGAAGAGGAGCTAGTACACATTTGTTCCAGACATCTGGTCAATGACTGAGAAGCAAAGGTCTGTGGCAGGTACTGCAAATACAAAGCCAGGCCAGGCTGCTCCTCCCTCCCAAAGAATATGCAATGAATCACAGCTAGGGAGGATAAAGATAAATGCATTGATTTTGTTTTTCTTTTTAAACAAAACATGGTAAGGACCAAAACAGAGTACAAAACAAGGGGCACAGAGGAGGGGTGATTAATTCTACCTGGAAGGGTAGGGGCAGACAACGGTGATATCTCTGCCAGCCTATCAATTAAACCCAAATGCGCCCCAGGCTAAATAAATCATGCCTGTGACTTTGATTTTCTTCTTTGGAAAGTTAAAGAACACTCGGAACATTAAAAGTTCTTTGACACCAAGTTTCAGAAACTGAATGAAACACCAAGTGCAGAGCCAGACTAAGGATCACAAGCGTGTTTTTATAATTGCCAACTTCTTTTTCTTCTTGGTACTGAGGACTGAATTGAGGGCCTTTGCAATGAGCTCAGTCTGTGGTCCTTTTAAACATTTTTAATTTTAAGGCAGGTCTCACTGAATTGCCCAGGCTGGGCTTGAATGTGCAGTATTTCTGCCTCAGCCTCCCAGAGTGCTGGGATTACAGGTGTGTACCATTGTGCTCAGCTATAAGCCAACCTTTCTTAATGAGCATTTCCCCCTAATTTTTTTTTTTGTTTGTTTGTTTTTTTGGTTTTTCTCTGGTACCAGGAACCGAACTCATGACCTTGCACTTGCCAGGCAGGCGCTTTGCCGCTGAGCTAAATCCCCAGCCCCATCTCCCTAATTTTTAAGAAATAACACATACTCAGAACATCAGAAAAGCACAGATGATATACTATATTAATCTAAAAAACCTTTGAAAGCTTAGCATCTAGAGAAATTACTGTCAGTTTCTTGGTTTGTTTCAATTATGTATGTACATTTTGCTTGCAGATTAAATTTTTATATGTACATTCTTTTTTTTGAGACAGGG